ACTGAGGGTTGCGATCCGTTGCCGGTCACGAAAAAAGACAAAAAGAAAAAAAAAAAAAAAACACTCTCGCCTCAGGGCCTTTGCACTCACTCTTCCCTCTGCTTTGATGTTCTTTCCCAGATTGTTACATTCTGGCCCCTCTACTTCACTCAGATCTCTGCTCAAACATCACCTGCACACACAGGCCTTTCAGGACCTCTCTAAGGCAGCCCTTACCTCTGTCACTCTCCATCCCTCCAGCAAGCTTTGTGCTTCTTTCTAGACATACCATCTGCTTATTTGGTTTTTGTCTGTCCCCCTACTCCCCACTAGACTGGCAGCACCATGAACACTAGAGCTGTCCCTTTCTTTTTTCTCTTTTCCCAGCACCTAACACAGCAGAAACTTAAGCACTTGTTGAATGAGTGAATGGATGGATGAATGAATGAATGCACAAATGAACACTGAAAAGACTTGGAGTCCTGTCATGCTATTTAGCATTAAATTAGGTTTTCCTATGCCCTGCTAATTGTATACATGTCCCAGCCCTTCTTCACCATAAAGCTGAGCAGTTCCTGAAGCCCAGGCAGCATTCTGGGTTTGTTCTGTGTGCCCAAAATGTCTGGCACAATGCTAGGCACAGGACCCCATCCCCACACTAGCACAGCCCCTCCCAGCCTAGGGCAGAGTTCTCGGGACCCTGGCTGCCCAAGCATCTGTCTCACCCCTCAGCCGTGAGCTCCCAGGGACTGTGTTGCCCTCACTGCTACAGCCCACACACAGCCCGGGGTCTCTGTCCCCAAGATGACCCACCTGTGCCCTGCAACCCCAGCCCAGGCCCCACAGGTGCTTCAGTGGAACCATGTTATCGAATCTTCACAATTATCCTTGGGGTGGAAGCCTTATCCCATATTACATATGAGGAAACTGAGGCTCCATAGCTGAACTGACAAGAACAGAGGCAGGCAATGCCAGAGTTAACCCCAGTTCTCATGGCCCTGAAGACTGTGTTCCCTGCGCTCCACCCCTGTAGCACAGCCCCATGCCACTGCCCTATGGGCCCTGCCTGCCCCACCAGCACCTTCAAAAGCTGCCCCCAGGTTCACAGCCCAGGGCATGCCACTCTCTAGCTAATGGACCTTAGGCAAGTGACTAACCTCTCTGTGCCTCAGTTTCCTCACCTCTAAAATGAGGGTGACCGTAATGGCACCCACCTTGGGGGTTGCTGTGAATATTAAAAATATGAAGTAGTATATTAAATGCTTAGAGCGGTGCCTGGCACGAGTGCTCAGTAGGGGTAGCCACCGACAGAATAGAAACGAACCCTTTTTGGAGGCTCTGAGTGAAGCCCCACGAACCAATTACAGTTTGGGAAGATGTTACTGCTTTTGATGGTCCCAACAACCCTGCACCACGGGAACACTTATCACCCCCACTTAACAGATGTAGAAACTGAAGGTCAGAAAAATTAAGTCTGTTGTCCTGAGCCACACAGCCTGGTGGGGCAGGGCCTAGCCTACTGGCCACCAAATGTGTATCCTAACTTTCACCACCCTTCAACGGCCAGCCCAGCACTGTTGACAGCCTGAATCTGATACCAGGACCTGCCTCGCTTCACATCCTGATGCCCTGTAAGAAAGAACTCCAGCAGCCCTGAGGCCATGTCTGGTGGGCATTTGTCCTGTAGACCCCCACCCGTGGCCTTCGACCTTCCTGGAATGACTTCCGGAGGCGACTTGGCCCTGTCGCCTCCCCCAGGGGCAGGCCTTTGGCATCCCTCCCTGTCCTCCAACTCTCCTCCTGCTCACAGGAGACCTTATCGACCAGAGGTCAAACCAATCTCCTCACCCTAGGTCCCCAAGGGGAGCTGCCCTGCCCCAGAAGCCAGCCTCCCATTAATGATTTTCTACCTGGCCCACTGGACAGAGGCAGTGTGGGTGACCCAGGGTCAGCAGGGGCTATCAGGTGGCCCTTCCCCAGGATGTAGGGGGGAAAATCCATCTTGCCCAGCTTCCATGACTTAAGCCACACTCTGTGGCCAGATCAATCCCAAGGGAGGTTGTGGGGTGGCCTCTGACACGGAAACGACCTGTCCTCCTGAAGAGGCAAGGTGTACCCCTGGGCTTCCTGGGAAAGATCTTGGGGGGCTCCAGCCTTTGCACAGGCTGGGTCCTCTGCCCAGGCTCCCCGCCCCTTCTGCGCATTGTCATCTGCCTTCAGGCGAGGCCCCCTCTGGAAGCCTTTTCTGGCTCCCACCTCCCAGGCGGGGTTAGGCCTCTGGACACTCTACTGCAATGGCTTATTGTCCTGAGTCCCGTGTGTCAGGTTCATCCCTGGATCTCAGCTCTGCCCCCGGGAGGTGCTCAGCAAATGCTTGCCAAATGGCTGTGGCTAAAAATGAGAGAAACCTGGAGGCCAATACTGACCCCACCACTTACTACCCAAACAATCAGAGTGCCCAACAGAGGAATGACAAGGGATGTTTTCAAAGCTTTGTTTGCTAAAGCTTTCCTCTGCTCCAGGCACTTGCTAAGAAGCCCTCTAGATATGGTATCTCATCTAATTCCACCAACCCATGGGGGTGATCACCAGTTAGAGCCCATTTTACAGATCAGACCACTGAAGCCAGCTCTCCAGGTCCACGGAGCTGGTCACGGGTGAGCAGAGCTCCAGGGTCCAACGCCAGAGCTCACGCAATGCAGGGCTACCTGGGAATATTCGTTTCTCCTCTTTTCCTGCTAGCTGGGTGGCAGGTCACTTGGCTTCAGTGCCCTGAAAGGGGGCCTATCTTCAAGGCCTTCCCAGATCAGCCACAGCTGCTGTCTGCCTGGCTGACCCCCCTCCCGGTGCACAGTTATCGGGGTATTGAAAAGCTATGGTGTGAAGAAAATCAAATTGCTTTCAAGGCCTTCCCAGATCAGCCACAGCTGCTGTCTGCCTGGCTGACACCCCTCCCGGTGCACAGTTATCGGGGTATTGAAAAGCTATGGTGTGAAGAAAATCAAATTGCTGCAAGTCTTGCAAGGTGAGAAGGGTTGGCACATAGAGGATGTCTCCTTCTACCGGGAGAAGGTGACTTTGCCGCTCCACATACCCTGCACACATACACATGCACTATCTTTTGGGTCAAAGCAGCTTTTCCCACAGCAGGGTGGCCTATAGTCCCCCTGTAGCCTGAGACCCCCAACTACCTCCACTCGACCCTTCCCCTGCTCTGAGGGCTGCAGCTCTGCTGGAAATATTCATTCGCCAATCCAGGAGCTGCACAGAGGCAACAAGAAATCTTCCCCCAGGTCTGCCAAGGTCCTGGACGTGGCGCTCAGTGGGACCTAGCATATCCACCTGCCTGCAGTGTCATCCTCATCCGGCGCAGCTCATAACACATGACATGACGCCAGCTCCCTGCTCGGGACCCTGCCATAGCTCCCCATTGCCTACAGGATGACGTCCAGGTGTCATTCTTACTATCTAGCCCCTCCTACCTTCCAAGCCTCCTCTCCTAGGCACTGTGGTGGGAATCTGCCAGGGGGAGAGAAGAGGGTGGGGCGAGCCCCCAACACAGTGCCAGCTTCCAGAGGTTGACCAAGGTACCCTTCCTCCCCCCTACCATGGCACCCAACGGCCACCACTGCTTTCTCTGTCCTGAAGATTTCAGCCTCACTGGCCCACTCACAGCTCTGAAAAGCGTGTTTGGAGGCTTCCTATTTCTTCCTGGCCCACATTTCCCGCCCATAGCCATCCATCACGTCACACATCACCTACATGCACACACAGCCTAAACACACACTCACCCCACGCGTGCAGCAACAACACAGCAGCTCTTACTAACAGACCTTATGTGTTACCCAGCTCCACCCGCAATTGCCACCTGACTTGATTTCTTTAACCCTCGGTTTCCTCATCAGCAAAATAAGGATTGTTTATAATATCTATCTCAGAAAAACATTACAAGAGTAACAAATAGCCACTACTTTTTTTCTTTTCTTGTCTTTAGTTTGGTTTTGTTTTTTAAACAGCCACTACTTGTTGAGTGCTTCCTCTGAGCTAAGAACTACTTTAGGTAAATGTAATCCCCACAACAACCCTAATGAGTTAGTATGATTATTATCTCCATTTTATAGATGGGGAAACTGAGGCTTGGAGAGGTCACATCACTTGTCCTAAGTCATAGAATTAGTGAGAAGAGAAATTAAGTTCAAATCCAGCTCCCCCTCGGTCTGGAGCCCAGGCTCTCCACCACTTCACCCATGCCTGCCTACGGCTGCCGTTCTCCCTTCTATTCCTCACCCACCTCCTTTCCACTATTCCAGGACGTAGCTGGGGAAGTGGGGAGGGAGACTGTCCATGAAGGGCTGGAATTCTCTCCCTCCACCCAAGTCAAGAGGATGGGGTCCCACTGCCCCCTCCCGCCCAGTCCCCGATCCTTGAGGCCTCATGCAATCCATGCCCCTGTCTCCAGGCAGCTTGCCCAGAAAGGGAGGGTCTCCCTGGTCCCTGGAGGAGCAGCCCACAGAGTTCCGGCCACATTCCATCACTGCCTGCCTCCTCCAGCAGCAGCATCGGGCCAGCTGTGCTGAGGGCTTTGAGAGTGTCTCCAAATTCTGAATTCAAACCTGAGACCTTCACCCCCTCCAGGCACGGTCCCTGGTAAAGTCAGTCTCCTCTCCACCCCAAAACACAGCTCCCCAAACTCTTCCTTAAGAGCAGCCTGGACTCTGTCAGGAGTTCTGCCCATGACAATGCTCCCTGTATCACCATAATCGAGACTGAAACTCACATCGACCTCCACTTGCTGGTCACTTGAACTTGTCAGGCACCATCTCCTTAGTCCTCACACAACCTGAGCAGGTCAAAACCATTACTATCCCTGTGTTCCAGTGACAAAGGGAGACACAGAGAGGCCAAGGGACTCACCCAAGTTGTACAGAAAGTGACAGAGCAAAGATCTGAACCCATCTCTGGCACTGAAGCCCATATATTTCCCACAGCTGGCACCCATGGACAGAAAGGGGAGCAGGGGGCTGGCCAGTTAGCTCAGGGAAAGTGACAGAGCAAAGATCTGAACCCATCTCTGGCACTGAAGCCCATGTATTTCCCACAGCTGGCACCCATGGACAGAAAGGGGAGCAGGGGGCTGGCCAGTTAGCTCAGTTGGTTAGAGTGCAGCCTGGTAACACCAAGATCACGGGTTCGGATCCCCATGCTGGCCAGCCACCGAACAAAAAGGGGAACAGGAAAGCTGGGTCCACCCCAAATCTGAGCTTGGCTCAGATCGTCACCACCAGCCTCCCTCAGCCCAGTCTTCTGGCCTCTCTTCTGTCACACTCCCCACACCCAACTCAACCAGGATGGACAGTGATGCTGCTAAGGGCCTTTCCCCACCCCTAGCCTGTCCATTAAGCTCCCTGGGCTATCAATGTATTGATTGGCAGGGCTGAGCCATCAGCATGGGGGAGTGCTGCAGGATGGGGGCAGGGCCTGAGGGTCAGCCTCCCTCTCCCCATATATCAGCTTCTTGTACAGATCGTCAATATGGGAGCCGCTGCTGTGGGCACTCAGCCCAGGAGTCAGCCTGGGGGTGGGGTGGGACCTGTAAAGACCCATGCCCGCTTTTCTTCCTCCCTTTCTCCTTCCGCCAATCCCTGCTTCAGTTCCATCTCCCTTAAAGCCTTTGGCTGTAAGGCCATGCCAACAAGATAACAAGCCCTTTACGCTGGCACTCAGTGCTCACCACGGCCTCTTCCATCACCTCCATTCCTGCCCTTGACATTCCAGCCACCCCACCCAGCTTGGAGCTCCTTGAGCAACCCAGGCTGTTTCCTGCTTCCAGATAGCACTGTTCTGTGTACCCGCATGTCTTTTCTTTACACACATGCATCCAACACCTCCCCTACCCCCAGTGACCAGGAGGTGGCAGAGCCCCCAGGAAGGAGTATGTGTTATACCTGACAAGGCAGACATAGGAGCTAGGTCTGCAGGCACAAACAAGAGTTCACAGCTAAGCACTGCCCTTCCCCCAACCACCTGAGGAAGTAGGACTGTCTTGTTGGTTGTTTTTTTCCCATTTTTCATGTGCAAAAGCTGGGACCCAGGGAGGTTAAGTAACTTGCCCAAGGTCACACAGAAAAAAGAAAGCAGACCACAATTGGAACCAGGCGGGCCGACTCCAGAGCTCTCATCTTGCCTTTTAATAAGCCCTGGTCCTAGAGCTGGCAGACTCACAGTTGAATCCAGCTCTGCCTCTCTCTTGCTGTGAGATCAAAGGCAGGTTACCATATGCCCAGGCTTCCTTTTCTTCATCTGCAGAATTCCCTAAATCCAAGCTTGTTGTGAGGCTTGACCAGGATGACATGTGAATGCACCTGGCACATGGTGAGCACGTAATACCTGGTGGCCGCTACCAGTATGCTGCTGTTGTCCTTACCCTTACAGACCTGTACCCCAATTTTCCACAGCCACAACTTTCCTGCTAGAGGACTAGGTCAGAACCAAAAGGCCCTGCTGAGGATGGAAGTTTCCTCCCTATCCCACTCCAGTCTCCTTTGGGGGGCCCAATGTGCCTCCAGAGCTACCCGGGGCAGGGTGGAGGCAGCACCTGTGACCCAAGCCCACTGACACTGGTGGTGCCAACCACAAGAAATTCTAAAACTTCACCTCTTTATCTCGGAGCGGGTGACACTTCCGGGCTGCAGGAATGCTGGCAGGGTGCCCTGCACCCCACACACACACTGGGAAAGAGGCTGGGAGGGGAGTAAGTACAGCATTCCCCAATCCCAGTCCCACCCTCCAAACACCCACCTCTAATTCTGGGACCCTCTCAGATCAGTACATTCCATGAGGATCAGGGCCTGCAGACTCCGAGTCAGATGCCCTCAACCCCAGAGATCCCTAACTGGGCCCTGATCACTCTCCCCCACCCACACCCACACCCCAGAATCCAAACAGGAACTCTCCCCTTGAACCCCTAGCATGCCTCTTGGCACTCTGTCTCCCCAACGGTA